ACCATGTAAAAAAAAAAGCAAGTGCTTTAGACAATCACTGCCCCCAAAGTCCACAGTGAACCCTTTCAGGGTTTTTTTTTTTTTTTTTTTTTTTGGATGGCCAGCCAGTACGGGGGATCCAAACCCCTGACCTTGGTGTTATACTGCGCTGTAACCAACTGAGCCACCGGCCAGCACTCAGGGCTTTGATAGCATGTGACTTAGACCTGAGCGGTCGTAGGTGCTTTGTTGGTGTCAACTTCATCACTCCCTGGTACAAGAGTCTGACAGCTCAGGGTGGAACTTTTTCCTTAGGCCAACTCTCTAGTCTTCCCCTGCCATCTCCCAGATCCACCTACTGGTCTAGTGAAGGCTAAAGCTTATCTTGCATCCTCCACAAGGCCCTGGGGACTACTTATATCTGACAAAGTCCTTAGGATAGTCTCTGGAAGCAAGCAGCTCAAGGGAGCATGGAGCTAAGCTCTTTCAGCAAATCTCTCTCCTGCCAAAACAAACAGTAAAAACCGCACTGGATTGCAGTGCTATTCCTCGTGGAGATACTGGCCACTGTCTAATGCCAGAATAGCCCAGAGATGAGGGTTTGTTCACCAGAGGGGAATCCTTTCTCTCCTCTGGGCTTACTTCTGTCATAGGCTTCATGGGTGAGTGGGGATATCTTTATCGACTCCATACCCAGCAGGGGATAACAAAGTCTCACTCTGGACCTAGTGCTTATTCACACTTCCTCAAACAGAGCTGGGCATTCCCCCCACCCCCCAGGAACTGCACCCTAGCTGTTGAGGGAGTATTAAGACACCCACTTAATTTTTTCCATGTAGCTCATGTTAAGGAATGGGTAATCAGAGACAAATATATAGCACCTTGAAAAATGGTCATCTCCCATTCTAAGTGAATTCACAGCCCAAGCATGTTGTAAATGGTGCTGGCTGTGATGGGCATACTCTCAGTTCTAGTGTCTATGCATTCTGGAAAGACAGGTATTCAGTGTACAGCTCCAGTTAACTGATTCTGATGGGAGGCCATAGCATCTTTAATTTTGGGTCATTGTTACCATTACATATTCTGTGGGTTTGTCCTTCTATCAGTAGTTCAGAAGATTCATTGTCATCTCATATGTTTGTATTTATAAGACTTATCTGCATGAGTGGAATTACCATTTCCCAGGTACTCTTCTTGCCTTTTAGAAAAGATGGTGGTACGTCGGCAGGGATAATGTGCTCAAAAGTAAATGTACTATTTTTTCTATAAAATTTAACTTTCTAAAATAATGAAACATAGCAATACAGGTTGAGCGTCCCTAATACAAAAATCCGAAATCCAGAATGCTCCAAAATATGAAACATTTTGTCAAATATATGATTCTCAGAGAACATGCTTGTTGGAGCATTTTGGATTTCAGATTTTCAGATTAGGGATGCTCGACCATTATGTATTCTGCAAATATTTCAAAATCCAGAAAAAAATTGAAATCTAAAACACTCTGGTCCCAAGCATTTTGGATAAGGGATACTCAACCTGCAGTATATTTTCTAAATACAGTCATGAGCCGCCTGACAAAGTTTTGGTTGATGACAGACTGCTTATACAATGGTGTTCGGAACAATATAGCCTAAGTGTGTAGCCTCTGCTATCTAGGTTTGCACAACAAAATCACCTAATGACACAATTCTCAGAACGTATCCCCATCGTTAAGATGCATGACTGTATAATGCACCAAAAAATGATACGTAGTTTACAGCATAATTCCTTTTGGCACTGGCTGGTACAGGGACCTGAACCCTTGACTTTGGTGTTACAACACCACGTCCTAACCGACTAAGCTAACCAGCCAGCCCAAGAGCATGATTTAAAAAATATAAGTCATGGCTTTGGATCTCTGTACCAGCCAGCTGCCAACAAAACAAAACAAAACCAAAGAAAAACATAAGCACTTCAGTACCACCGGATACCTCAGTGACCTTCATTTGTTAACACTCATACCCCCTTTTTCTAATCTTTAATAGAAATCTCATTTTTCCTCTTACAGTACTTCAGTATCAGAAGCCCATAGAGGCTTCCCTATATCCAGAGTTCAAATTCCCCTATGGAGTTTCTCTAAGAGGACCGTAGTCCGGACTGCCTTTTTTCTATCTCTAGAAAAGTCCTGGACTGCTTATTTCTGGGTTCATGGCCTTTGCATCTCTCTACTTTTGTGATCGAAGTCATGACGAAAAAAAAAGTTTTTCCACCTTTTGGCTTCTCTTTGGTTGTTTCTGTAATTTGTAGATTTGCCTTGTAGTCTTTTGTTTCAGCTTTCCCTCCTCTGTGAATCTAAAAATCTAAGAATACCATATCTAAAATTTGGAGGCAATATTTCCCTTCTGCTCAGCACACAGATAATCACAAGAATGTCACTCCCACCCTAGCAATGAGAGCAAACCAGGTAATCTACAATGTCATAGCTATTTTAAGCTCACCATAGAGCAGAGGTCACAAAGTAGTATGATGAACTAAAATCGAAAAAGTGACAAGCCCCACTCAGGAGGGACAGGCCCCAGGGCTGCTCTCACCTCTGGCAGAGTGGCAGGAAGAGAAGGGAGGCTTCACAGAACGAGTGAGAGGAAAGCAGCTGAAACTTTATAGAAGGACTGACGCTGAGCGTGGACCGGCATGACAGCTCAAGATTCCTGGGGGCCCAGACACAATGGGGATCCCCCCAAACACCTCTTTTCCCCAGACCTCAGTGGGCCCTCATGACAGAGACTGGGAGCAGGACAGGAGTCCTGTTGTCTGAGGGCAGAGCAGGGACACCGAGAGTCCTCCACACCCTGGCTGTGCACTGAGTGCCACCCCCTAGGACCTTCTAAGGAGGGACAAGGAGAGCCGAGGGAGAGTCCCCAAGGGGTGGGTGCATAGTGAAGTCTGAGAGAAACCCCACCTGCCCTCCAGGCCTTACAGCGAGTCCAGGCAGCTGCTGTCTGCCTCCCCAGGGGGAGGCAGGCTTGCCCAGAAATAACCCCACCACTGCCCACTCAGCACAGATCCATGGGTCCTGCTGAGGTCTGGGGACAGGGAGAGCTGAGAGGGTCTCCCTACGACCCCCAGGTCGTACAGCAAGTCCAGGCAGCCCTGTCTGCTCTTCCAGGCACTGAGAAGATGGCGGGGAATAAAGCAGATCCCCACCCTCCTGGAGCTTACTTCCTAACAGGAGACACAAAATAAAATGATGGGCTAATAGTGCTGCAGAGAAAGATAAGCCAGTGGGGGAGGGCATGTGGGAAGCAGGGCCCGAGGGACTACGCGGAGAGCAGGGCGTCCAGGAAGGGCTGGCACGAAGTGGTCACACGCTGAGCCCAAAGCAGCGGCCACGGCTTCTGCAGGTCTGGCAGTACAGGAGGAGGGACAGAGCTGTGCAAAGGCTGTCACAGGAGCATGACTGGCAGGCTCACAGAGCAGCAGGGAACACGGAGTGACTGGAGCTCAGTAACTGAGGAGCAGTGGAGAGAGACAAGGTCAGGAAAATAGATGGATCGGGTGGAGATTGTATAGGGTCTTCTGTGCCAGGCTGTTAGGTTCAAAGGCTGAGACATGCTTTTATAGTAGTGTTTTCAATGACCATAGTTTAGAGTTTAGAAAACTAAACCTGTAGCAGATATCAACTACTTAAAACACATTTGAACAGTGTAAACCCCTTTTAAAGCATTAGCAAAGTAGTAGTCTCCCACTACCCCACCCCATGTCCTGCATGGAATGTTCTGGAAATCAAGAATATTTAGACATGGTATTATTTATTACATCATGGGATTAAGAATAATTTTTACTCATGGTGTTTTCCATTGTATTTCAAGTTAAAAATTAAGGAGAGGGCCGACTCTGTGGCTCACTCGGGAGAGTGCGGCGCTGGGAGCGCCGAGGCCACGGGTTCAGATCCTGTATAGCGATGGCCGGCGCAGTGTGGGCGACACCAAGCCAAGGGTTATGATCCCCTTACTGGTCACAAAAAAAAATTAAGGAGAAAATAAATAATATTAGGAATATATCTGCTTGGGTTTTTTTTTTTTTTTTTTTTTTTTAATAAGTACACGCAAAAAAAGGCATGTGCCTCTAGCAGTGTTGGAGGAGTGTTGAAGAAGCCAGTGTCCCTGCGGCTCTCATTGATTCCACGTGTCTCGTTCCATGTCTGAAAGCAGAAGGGAGGCTGGGTTGTGCAGTGGTGGCTGCTTATACTTCTGCACTCCCTGAGCATGCTGCCCTAGTCTGGAGTGGAGATGGTGGCATCTCTCTGCAGGTGGTCCATGGGAAGGTCCCTGACACGGAGTGGTGGGCCTGCAGCAATGGTCCCCTCCTGTCCCTCTGCACCTGGGGGCTCCCCATGGAAGTGTTTCTTGTGGGACAGTTGTGCCTGGGGATGACCTTAGTCACTCTGTCATGCTGTCCTTGAACCCTTTGGGGGTCTGGTTTCCAGGTGCAGGCACAGAGGTGGTCTCAGCCTGCTCGGTGGTGGGCGCCCAGGGTGGCCAGAGTCAGCAGTGGCACCCCCACGTCTCCCATGGATGGCTGAGCCGGAGGCCACCACGCCCTCTCGACTTCCTCAGAAGTCATCCGCCCACGAGATAAGCCCTGAAGGTCCTCACCCGAAAGATCTCTTGTCAGGAACTTGCCAGTTCTTCAAGTAATCTGTCAGAAGCATGTGGTTAAGAAAAACAAGCTTTTTATACATTGAGACAGGGCCGTTCCCATCTTGTCTAACCAGTTTTTTTCTCTCGCACTTATTTGTTCTCAAAACAAGCACAATTTTGGTGGTGAGTTAGGACCGCAGTCTCTCGCACCTAGTTTTGGACATTTTTGCTTATAGGTGTTCCTTTTTGTCATGGAATTGGTTTTGCTTTTCTCATTAACGTGTATGATTTGTGCAGCATTCCTGTGACAAACCAGGGCAGCTATTGATTGTGGAATCTTAAGGGAATGAGACTGAACATCCCAAGCGCCCTTTAAAAACTGTTTTTGGTTTATTTTCACAGCAAACCCAAGGAACCCGTATTCAGTGCAGGTAAGTCTAATTTCATTTTCGTATGGGTCCCCCACACTCTGTCAGAACTTGAGGGACGGAGAAGAGGCAGCTGTTTCAGGGGCCAGCCTTCCATGGCCTTGCAGCCTCTGGGCCTGTGGGACTGAGCGCCATCAGCGTGGTGCCTGGGAGGCAGCGGCCCAGTAACAGCAGCAAGACCACCCATAAAATGATCACGGAGATGAAACCCTTTGCTAATTCCCTCTAAACCCGATATAACACCTGTCAATAAGGGGGGAGAGTGAAATGCCACCCCCTGTGCTGTAATAGAAGTTGTAGATTAGGGCTGGCCGGTTAGCTCAGTTGGTTAGAGTGTGGGGTTTGGGTCCCTCCCCCGACCCCCCTACTGGCCAGCCACCATCTCCCCCTGCCCCCCCTAAAAAGACTCGCCTTTGTTATTCCTCCCTTAGTAACTGGGCTCCTGTCATCAACATTTATATTTATCTCAAAGGGAATGTCTCTGACGCAGCAAGTCATATAACTTTGTCTAAAAGTGGCTTTTCTTTTTCTGCCTATGATTTCCTAAACTGCAAACTAATAGTTCCTACACATCTTTCCATATATCTTTTTTTAACATATTTTATAATACGGTAGGTGCTTTTCTTAGCCTATTAACCTTATTTTAAAATGCATTTAAAATGCAAAAAAGTAGACAAGTATATAATTGGTTAAATAAATTCATTCCATTTTCATTTTTGCAGGCTTTTTTGTTAAATTCACAAAACGTAAAAGTCAAAGTCTTGTATTTATCAGCATGTGCTTTAGTGTTTATTTCATTTTCAGGAAGCATGACATTACTCACTGAAAATGTCATTGCCATAAGCTCGCAGGGCTGTATCCCCAGTGCACTTATCAGAATCCCTGAAATCTGTCCGGATTTTCCTACGGGGGGCAGGGTAGCGTCTCCAGCTGTGAGCTAGTGTGCTCCCAGAGCAGGCAGGCCAGTCTCTCTTGCAGCACTCCACCGTCTCTTTATCTAGCCCTTCTGTCTCTGTCTCCGAAATCACAAGGGAAACGCCGGGTGACACACTGCAAAGGTAGGCAGCGCCCTGAAACCTCATAGCTCTCTGAGCAAAGCTGTTACCCAGGCTACAGAAGCCTTTTTCATACAGGCAAACACATACTCTCCTTGTATGAAAATGTTTTTGTGATGCAAACCACTTCGATTTATTTTAAGTTAAAAGCATCCCTGAGCATTTACTTGGATGGGCTTTTATAAGTGGCTATAATTTGGATCTTGATTGATTATTGGCTGATTACAGGAATTTCTTAAAGTCTGTATAAACCTTAAGAGAGCTATAGGCAACCCCAGATGTCCCACGGTTTGACATGGTATCCTGCACTGCCGCTGGCCTCTCCCCACTAGTGCCTTTGGGTTTGGTGACTGTGTGCTGTTATCCTAACATGCCTGAAAAAAACATTGCTTCCCTGTGCTGCATCTTGATTTTAGATGTAGAACGTCTGAATTACCAGTACAAAACAGTGCCAAGGCTACAGTCAGTGCTTTTTTTGGCCTAGTCCAGTAATTTTAAACTGTGCAGTGAGTAAGCCTCAATCATAAGGATTCTTAACTAGCACATAACTACAATAGACTCAAGTAGATATTTCATGTGCATTGATTATATACATCTACAATGGGCTTTTTTGTGTGTTGTGGAAATGGCATTATATTTTTTTATTTCTAACCTATATTCTGTGAGTTTTCTGGCAGGATTGATGCATACCTTACAAACAAAGTTGATGGAATTGGGTTTGGGTCATACTCCCAAAAGACACAATCCTGAACACCATAATCCTGAACGCTATAATCCCGAACGTTAAAATCCCTAAAGTCTAAAATCCGAAAATCACAATCCAGATCAAAATCCCAAAATAGACTTCAAAATATAGTTACTGATCATGAAAGTTGGCCAGCTGTGTAGACTACCTCCAAGCACTTGCCCTTAGTCTATCTCTGTAATACACTTTTTCATGTGTTAAGTTTTCTTTTTAGTTTTTCTTTTATTTTTTTCCCACCATTTTAAATTGTCAGCATTATTTTTTACAATTGACTACCCTATGTATTTTATCTTCGTATCATTTCCAACAATGGATGTATAAATTGTATAAAGACTTTTAAAGAATTTTAATACATTTTTGCCTTTTTTGCAAATTAAAGACTTTTAGAGAATTCTAATTCAGTTTTTGCATTTTCCATGATAGTGTATTAAAATTGATTTGTATATAAGCATTATGAGTGTACGTAAAAACGTTGAAATTTCCTCAAAAAATGAAGTTATCCTTTTTGTACAAATACATTGTGAAAGATAAAATTTCTCCAGATTTCTGCTCCCAGGGCAACTGCACATGTAGGGGTGACCCATTACGGTTTTGATCAACCTCATCAAAAGACTGAGGCTGTCCGTCACAGTATTTCAGATGACTGCAGTTATAAAGCTGGATGCACAGATTACTGACCGTACTGATAGGCATTTATACGTTTTGTTTTTTGACCTGTTTCTTTATGAATATGGTTCGTCTGCTTGTAACTGTTATCCCCTTGCGACTGATTAGTATACCTGAATGTTTATGCTTACAAAAATATATGTTATTATTGTGTAAAGTGACCTATGAAGTTTTCTGTTGTGTTTTTACATCTTTCTCAAATAAATTCTCCTTTAAAAATATAAATAAATGTCTTCTAAGAATTTTTTATTTTTATTTTTATTTTTATTTTTTGTCCTTTTTGTGACCGGTCGCACCGCGCTCAGCCAGTGAGCGCATCGCACCGGCCATCCCTATGTAGGATCCGAACCCGCGGCGGGAGCACCACTGCACTCCCAGCGCCGCACTCTCCCAAGCGCACCATGGGCTCGGCCCTTCTAAGAATTTTTTAAATTATTTTTTCCAGAATTATGTTTTTGGGGTTTTGATCTTTCAGGATTGTGGTTTGGGGGATTTTAGACTTTAGGGATTTTGGTCTTTGGGGATTTCACCATTTGGCATTATGGTGTTTGGAATTGTATCTTTCAGGATTGTCATCAGCACTGTGTGAGGTCACTTTTCATTTACTTTAACTCAATCACTCCTGCCCCTCTTTTCACTAATGTCAGTGCTTTTACAGTCTTTGTTTGTGGTAGCCACACAGTCTGATGAGCTTAGATCCGGGTGAGGGGTTAAGGAAGGGACAAGGTTTCAGAGGAGACCAGCATGAGCGGAGGCACAGAGACAGGACAGGGTGCCAGTGGCAGAGACACTTCTGGCTGGAGAATCCTCATGAGGTGGTTGCTGCAGATGAGATTGTATGAGGTGAGAGGCTGGGAGGGCAGTCAGACCTGCTAGATTCAACAGATACAGGAGCAGGCAAAGGATTTTGCGTAGAGGAAGGACTCCATAAAATCCAGCTTGGGTCTTGATCGATTTAGCAGCAATACATAAGATGACCCTGGAGAGCGATAAGAGAGCCTGTGGTGATGGGGGCCTCAGATGGCCTAGTTCCAGGGCAGCTGGGGAGGGGTACAGCAGCATGGAAAACATCCTAATGGGAGGGATCAGTGGACCACAGTGACTGGCACGATGTATGCAGGGCGAAGGTGGTCATTTGTAGTTCTTACTTAAATCAAGCTTCATACACAGTGAAGAGTATATCACATGCATGCATTTAAGACCTGAGTGCATGTATACAGTAACATAAAACTGGGATGGCCTCTTAATTTTTAAGTGATACTGCATGTGTCATTGTTTGAAAATCCTTAGGAATAAGACTTACAAAACTAATTTGTAAATGTGGTACTTAATGGTACTGTAATTATTTTATGACTTTTTCTCACCAATGTCCTCTCTGTGAATGATTTTTCTGTTGAGTTATATACAGATATCCCCGGTTCCAACTGTCCAGTTTAAATGCCATTAAGGCCAGGTCCTTTGAACTGCAGTGAAGCATCAGAATTCAGCGAGTTCTGAGCAGAATTCATCAGGAGCTCACGAGACATTTCTTTGCTCTTACTATATCCTGAAAACTCTAGTTAATTAAACCCCAAGCTGGGTTTATTTCTAAGGTCCAAGAGTTGCCCCATGTCGTATATTATTGTTTTTTACTTTTGTCCCTATAACTTGTTAAAGTGTTAAAAGTTATTTTATTATAGAAATGTTTGTTCTACAAGTTTTGCTTCCTGATTTCTCTCTCTAATTGGTCTTTTGTTCTTGTTTTCCATTTCTAGCTTTTCTTTGAGCATTTTCCTTTTTTCACACATCCTAGCATGCACTACTGCTGGTTTTGTGTTCTTTACACTTAAAAGAATTGTCCAGCATAAAAGACACATAAAGACATTTTTACATTGCAGTATAACAAGCCAATTTTAATATTGAAAGATTCTTTATGAATTTTGAAATTGAGATTGTGCATACATTGAACTCAATCAAAATTGAAGTGGATTTCTTGTGTTACTTGTAATTTTGGGGGGTGGTATTTTCCCCTTCTGGTGATAAAGTGTAAGCACTAAAATCTTATGGAAAATAATTGTTGAGATTTAATTCCTTCCTGCCTTTTATAATTTCTTACATATCACATGTACTTAAGTAGGCAGAATGACAAAAGCAAACAAGATGCAAACTTTCATTTCAAACTGTTTAATTTTCTATGTTAGTTATTTTTTCCCTAGGACATTAACTAGAAATGACATAAAGGCAAAGGTTTCACTTTGCATTGAAAGACTGCAGAGGATGTAACATCTGTTTCCAGGTACCTGGGCACTGAAGTGTCCTACTGACATCTTTGTTCTTTTTGTAGAAGAAGGATATGTAAAAATGTTTCTTCGTGGACGCCCTGTTACCATGTACATGCCCAAAGATCAAGTGGATTCTTACAATTTGGAAGCAAAAGTAGAACTACCAACCAAGAGACTTAAGCTGGAGTGGGTGTATCCTTTATTCATTGATTAGATCTTAAACGGAGTTATCAGCTGATTAATGCTTGAAGTTTAGCTTAAGTCCTCTCAAGGTTTTAAAAAACTAAATGTTTTACTCTCATTTTTAAAAAAATTAACTTAACAAAATTGGCTATGTGTTAGAACCCAGTACAATATCCTAGCAAAGGAGGAGCTCCACAAGGCTACTGATTTTAGGGGAAACTGACTTATCATTCCTGAATGAAGAAATATTTGTGGTTCTTGCTCAAATACATATACATCATTTTCCTGAAGTTATTAAAATGTTATATGACTGCATGAATTATGGGGGGGAGGGAATCACTAGTTTCTGGCTAGAATTTTAATCTTTCTAAAAGAATAAAGTGAGTTAAAAACCTATAGTGAAGCCAGCTGAGTGAAAATAATCAAAAATGGGTAGACTTTAGGATTCTAGTAAGAAATAGTTGATTATTGTTAACAGAAGCTATCATGTACTTAGTCACCTCTTCAGGGACAGATGGAAAAGCTAGGAGGTTTATGTATTTATAAGGAAACAGCAGTGCAAATGCCAGAAAATATTGAACTTATGGATGAGAAAATGGGAATATCAGAAATTGAAACTAAACTGTGCTGACAAAAAGTTTTTAAAGCCAAACAAAGAGAGAGGGATACCCTGAAAGGAAGGTCTACCATTCTCCCCTAGACCAAGTAGGGACTTGGCCAGCCTTAGAAGCCCAACTTCAAGATGAACACTGACTTATTGAGGGGGTTATATAAGAATGCAAATACCAGAGGACTAAAGGGAGTAAAATGAATGGCACAAACAAAATTGGCAATGTAGCATAGATGTAATCCTACATTTAAAAAAAAAAAAAAAAAGCCTCCCTAAAAATTTAGGCCATAAAAATCAGAATCAACCATATAACTAACATTCTTGAAACAGAGCTGCAGGAGGCTTCACAGTGTGAGGTTTGGAAAAATGAGTTTCCAGGGGAAAATAACTGAAGGACTAGAAAATAGAACCTGTGGAAAAGGTGAATTAAATGTTGGGGTTTTTCCCTCCTATTTAATTCAATTTACTTATTAATTGCTTTAGAGGAAGTGTGCAGAGGCCACCTTCCAGTTCATGCAGATTTTAAAGCAGAGAGTAAAATCCTTTCTTTGCCCTCAAACAAATATTGAGTACCTGTTTGATACCAAACCCTGAACACAAATTAGAAGAAGTTGGTTTTTATTGAGGCTGTTGTAACTTCATTTAGAAGAATAACTATTTGAGATTATGGAGTTATATTTTTAAATGATTACCTATATTTACATTTCTCCCCCAAAATGCATTTTTTATTTTTTCAGATTCAGATGTCATAAGTGGTTACCTTGTACCTGTTTTGGAGTCTATTTGGGCACATGTAATTGAAGTGATTCAGCTTTTAAGTCAGTCGTGGTTTACTAAATGGTTAAATCAAGTCTGGAAAACATTATTCAAAACACATTTATTCAGCCTACTTCCTACTCACACTTTATAAGATTTAAAAAGGTTCACTTTGCTCCAAATAAATGGTATTTTTTTGCCAAGGTATTTTTAACATCCAAGTTTAAGTGATAATTTACTCTCAGAATAGTTTTCAAGGTTTGGAAGTATACATGCCAAAATTTTAAAAGGGGGTTAAATTATCTCTAAGGAGCTGGTGTAAGGGGGACCTACGTTTTTTACCTTCTACACATATGTGTGTGTGTCGTGAGTGTGTGTGTATGTTGTTTATACCCTTTACGAGTACTTTTATCATGCTAAAAAAATATATTTTTAGTAAAAGATTTAGCTCCTAGATTACAACAGGAAGTAAACTCATAATTGACTCAATAACTTTCTAAAAATAAATCCAAATCTTCATATTGTTCATATGTATTCATGCTACATTGATGACCATTTCCAACTTTTTTACATGCTTTTCAGGGCTCAGATACATTCAGCACTGAGTATTTGCAGGGTGATGTTATTTAAGTCAGTGAAATGGATAATAACCATGTAGTATTTTATCGCCTGTGCCTGTTGAATAAAGCTGATGTTTTGTCAGCTCTTAAAGGAAAAAAAAACAAGAATCTACAATATGCTGTGTACAAGAAATTCACTTAGCCTGTAAAGACACACACTGACTGAAAGTGAAGGAGTGGAAACATATATTTCATGAAAATGGAAACCAAGAAAGACAAGAAGTAGCTATACTTACAGGGGTCGAGACTGTCGTAATAACCTGTACTTGCTTCCAACGGGGGAGACCGTGTATTTCATCGCCTCGGTGGTGGTGTTGTACAACGTGGAGGAGCAGCTTCAGAGGCATTATGCCGGCCACAATGACGACGTGAAGTGGTGAGTCCTCGAGAGGTGTGATTGCTTTTACAGAAAGCGGAGGTCAGTACTGGGACGTAACTAAGGAGAAGAGAAGGGATCTAAGAAAATAGGATCTTTGGGGAAAACTCTTCTTCCTGTGCTCTGTGTTGTCTACTAGTTACCTGGCTCTGTAAGACTCTTGTCATTTTTAGTTTTCTATCATCATGACACATCATCTTTTTTTTTTTTTGTCTTTTTCCGTGTCCGGCAACGGATCGCAACCCTCAGTGTCACCCCCGTACCGGACAGGGACCGGCAACGGGATCGCAACCCTCGGTGTTGCCCCCACGCCTCGCTCAGCCAGTGAGTGGGAACTGGTCTGTATGTGGGATCCGAACCCTCGGCGGGAGCACCTCCACACTTCCCAAGCGGCGCACTAGCGCAGTGTGCCACCGGGCCGGCCCATGACACATCATCTTAACTGACCGCAAAACCTACACAATAGCTTCAACAGACGCCTGTTTGGAGGCCTTATTAACGCATTACGTGTTAAAGGTTTCTTTTTTTTTTTTTTTCCCTTTTTGTCTTTTTTCGTGACCGGCAACGGATTGCAACCCTCAGTGTCATGCCCATACCGGACGGGACCGGCAACGGGATCGCAACCCTCGGTGTTGCGCCCACACCTCGCTCAGCCAGTGAGCGGCTGGTCTGTATGTGGGATCCGAACCCTCGGCGGGAGTGCTGCCACACTCCCAAGCGGCGCACTATAGCAGTGCGCCACTGGGCCGGCCCTAAAGGTTTCTGATTTGGATCTTTACTTTTTAGTAAAATTGAAAATGTTTTGCCTCGTGTTTACAGCTGGGTCTGCTATTCCTGTAATTCATTTATAGCTTTTGGTGAGGATTTTATGTATCTTGCAAGAATGGATGGATAGGTGGACAGATGGATTTATGTATTTCTATGTCTCCTGGGTCCCTGGTCAATGATAAAAATCCTGTTGGCAAAAGATGATGCCTTTTCTATTTAATGCACTCAAAATTACTTGTTCTTTTTTTTTTTTTTTTGGTTTTTGGTTTTGGTGGCTGGCCGGTAAGGGGATCCATGCCTTTGACCTTAGTGTTACCAGCACCATGCTCTCCCAAGTGAGCTAACCAGCCAGCCCTCAAAATGATTTCTTAATAAAGGTGGTAGACTAACTGGTTCTGAGATTGAAACAGTATTTTCCCACTAAAGGATGCTTTTCCTTAAGTTTGAAAATTCTCAAAAATAAGGGAATTAAAATGAAATGAAATTGGTACTAGTTGTCTAAGGTCATTGGAGTACTTAGAGAATTTATTGTGAGTCTGTAAGAAATTAGGCATTATACATTTCTATTTAAATTTTCAACTAGATTACATTTGATTGAGGGAAAAGTAAAGCTTACCTTTAAGGTGTAGGTATTTTATAAGTTGTTGCTTTGCCTCACACGGATTTATCACCTCTCTTCTCCTGGGTAATGGAGCCACAAAAAGGATTACTCAAAGCTCATTTCTTCCAAGCAGTGAGAGACCCCAAAGGGGTTAATTTCCTGGAACCCTCAAGAGAGAGGCATTCCTTCCTTGGGAAATTAACCACAAACCGGGGTTCTCTCCCCACATTTATTCTCCAGACCAGGAAGTTACAGGAAAAGAACGTAGGTGGGGTTATGGCTAAGTATAGTTTAACAGGATAGGCTGGTAACATCAGTAAAACAAGCAAAGTGACATTCCATAATGCAATTTGAAAAGGTTGAGTCGATCCACCAACAAAAGCTTGATCTTAGCAAACACTTTTTCCCTACAGCAATTTCCCCAGTATTTTACATATCAGTCAAGTAACTTGTCTGTCCTTGAGCCAGCAACTTTGCTGTGTTACAAAGACTTTAGCCTGAGGAAAGTTTCCTGTCTTTCGCAAGGTTAACATTTCTATATGTAATTCCAAAAGGTTAGGCTAAACCTGAGACTACAGGGCTTTGGAAAATAGGACCTGTGAAATACATTTGCTTTATAAATGTTGATATACCCCTCAATAAGTACCCTTTTTTCAGCCTAGCAGTTCATCCTGATAGGATCACGATAGCAACAGGACAAGTCGCAGGGACATCTAAGGATGGAAAGGTATGTTATGTTGTGTTTGTATTTGTGTGATGAAATGGTAACATGAAGTAATCTTCTGAAAATATTTTGCTGATGAGGAGAAGACTTCTTAAATATGGGACCAGTACCTGACTACTTCTGAATCCCTCACTTGAATTTTTCATTGCAAATTAAGTCTTACAGTGACCTTAAAAATCCCTTGAGCTCACCTTAATTTTAGCAAATTTTTAAATAGCACTGTTCTTGTCAAAGAATTCACTAACTTTTAAAATACTTATTTACATACATGTTAAGCATTAAAATATGAAGGTACACATTTAATAAATAAAGTTAAAATCATAATAAGTAATCATTTGAATATGGGGCATTTTCCCTCTTCAGCAAATTTCAGGCACCCTTTTTCATGAACACCCTGTAAACTTGACTTGAGTCCGTGGAGTTTGTGTCTGTGTGCAAGTCACAAAAGCCACTAGGAGGTTTCTAGCACACATCATGTAAGCACTTCAGCAAGACTTTAATTTGTATTTTAAGGGATGAGAGAGGGAGCAAGTAGAATTCAATAGAAAACAGTACAAAACTGGTTACTTATGTATCACAGTCTGTGGTCATGTCTTTTTCAAAACTCTTTGTAGCTTTTTTGATATCTACTTTTATGTAGCTTATTATTGCACAGTATATTATCAGAAACTTATTACATTAAGTACTTACATTTTTATCAACATGTTTTGTTCCAGAAAATATTAAATATTTTAATAACATCGAATTCTTTAAACCTTATGCTCTTTTCCATTAAAATTCTACACTTGAAAGAGGTAAGAGGAATAATGGAAGTCAGCCTACTGTTATGTAAATTCACATAAATGGAACAGGTCTTTATCTTTTTGTTTTTAATGTTAAATGGCCTTGAAAAGTTCTTTGAAATTAGTAGTAAAATATTTGTTCCTCCCTCTAGTGGCTTAAAAGGGTATTTCAGTTTCCCGCACTGGAATTGAATCAGAACTTGAGAAATGTTTTGGCTATCTGAGCTAATCCTTTCAATTTGCCTATGGAGAAATCCAGAGAGGCCAGGTGATCAGAGGCAAGATTGAACTAAAACCCAGTTCCCCTACTGCCTAGTCTGTCCCCAGGTACAATGCTAGGACCTTTCTTGTTGATAAATCTGCTCATTGCTCTATGATGCTTTTTCTTCTATTAAGGAAGAGAAAAATTAGTATAAATTATCCAGGGACACAGTTGAGAGGGTTTTGAACAAATTGTAACAATTCTCAGTTTTATTTGTGTATAGCTGATTACCTGTTTCGCTCTTATGGGGCCCAAGAATGTTAAGCTCTTAATACCATTTGGTGGTGATGAACTTAGACATGCTGACACCTTAGTGACAAAACAGACTTTAAAAGAATAATCCTTATATGAGATTCCATTTTTCTTGTCATTTTTCATTTCTAAAATCCAGACACATCTAGATATACAAATTAGAGTATCGATTCTTGGAGTACAGTAGTCAAGAACTGGCTGTTCAAAATTTTAAATTGGGTGGACCCCACCTAAATGTTAAAGTGGTCACAGGGCCCATAATCTCCTGAAGCCATTGGGAATCCTTTATTTATATTAAAAGGCGTACTCCTGTAATACAGAAAAAGGCCTTTTGTTTTGACAGAATGGAAGTTAGTGCCCAAGTAGTCTTGTAGCTTCAAGGTAAAGATAAATTTGCGTAACTGTCACAATTGATGACTCTGTGTTTTTTTATAACAGCCATTGCCCCCACATGTACGCATCTGGGATTCTGTGACGTTGAATACTCTGCATGTCATCGGAGTAGGTTTTTTTGATCGAGCCGTCACCTGTATTGCGTTCTCAAAATCTGTAAGTGGGAGCTCTGCGCGTGTCACAGTCTTTGTCCATAGGAGAAGAGAATCAGATTAGGGTTGAAGAGGGAGAGACTTACCCACACGAAAACCACCCACGTGCATGTGCAGATGTGAACTGAAGCATTCCTGCTTACCAGGTCCCTCATTCAGAGGTCACACACACGTCTTGCCAGGGACACATACTTCCAATCAAACATTTCCAGCCGCATAAACTTGGTGATGAAAAGAGGCCCCCCCGGGGGCATTGTCCTCACTTTCTCTAAGGCTTTGTCTGCTCTGGCCTTGAATTTCACCTGCCGCCTTCACATGTGGCTCCACAGGGACTGGATGGGGCCCCGTGGTCTTCAGGTGTTGTAAGGGTGTGCAGATTCAACACGTCCACCCTAGTGCTCTCTTAAACCACTTCAGCAGTTCTGAAACACGTTTATCGCCTTCACATGTGGCTCCACAGGGACTGGATGGGGCCCCGTGGTCTTCAGGTGTTGTAAGGGTGTGCGGATTCAACACGTCCACCCTAGTGCTCTCTTAAACCACTTCAGCAGTTCTGAAACACGTTTATAATCACACGCACATGTTCACATCAAAATACCTTGTGTGTTCACGCCCCCAGGGCTTCGTTCACTAGCCCTGTCCACAGCTGGTAATAGACCACTATGCTGTGCCTGCTGCGGGCACTGTCTCCTCCAGGAGCGGGGCCTCTGAGCCCCTTTGGGGGCTGGTTCTCGTGGAACTCGATGGAGAAGAGCCAACCCTTCCCCCTGATCCTGTCCCTTCCTCATCCCACGTTCACACTCTCCCTGTCTGGCCAAGAAAGCAGGTCGCAAAAGCAGTGGAGCAGCGGACTCTTTATTAAAAGTAAAATGACTGTTCATTTTTAATCTTGTTCAACCCATTTTATTCTCAAATGTAGTCTCCCTGTGAATAACTTTTTCTTTCCAGAATGGAGGAAGCAATCTCTGTGCTGTGGACGACTCCAACGACCACGTGTTGTCTGTGTGGGACTGGCAGAAAGAAGAAAGACTGGCCGATGTGAAGGTTTCACTCCCAGACTCACACTGGGCCGTGTCCTGACTTTCCCACTAGGAGCTGCAACGGCACAGCCTGCAGCCTCCTCCCAGTGGGCTCCAGGACACAGCTGCCCTGTCTGTCCTGGTGGGCTGCCCATTCCCACCCCCAGCCCTTGGGCATGACACCCTCACCTTAGACGCTTCCTGCCCCCTGTCCTCCCCCATAGGACTCTGTTCCCCAGTCCTGTCAGGGTTTTTCCTGTCTTTACAATGCCTGTGAGATTTCTTCCTCCTCATTTCACACCCACTACCCTTTTAATTCACTCAGTGTTTATTTGTTCACTTTTTCTTTAATTTGCCTGACAAATGCCCACTGTGTGCCCACCTGATGCAAGGAGGCACTGGAGGTGTGGTCATGAGCAGTGCACCCGCTGCCTCTCCCCTGGAAGGGCAGAGCGTGGCAGGGCCACCAGCACGGGGGCCTGTCCACAGCAGAGCCAGCGCCCCTGGCCAAATCCCAAGTCACTCCTTGTAGGATTCTTCTTGCAGTGGTCCCCTTTGACAACTTCTTCTACTGCCTCCAATCCATTTTGCACAATACATCACATGAACTTTCTTTTAGCCTCCTGATGTTTTTCTCCTATTAATGTCATCGTTGGATCTCTATTTTTATAGAATTGACTTCAGATTTCTCATCCTGGCATTCATTAACCTTAGATAACCTTCCTTACCTAACATTAGAATTACCATTAGATAACCTTACTTACCTTCTTTTCTCTCTGTGTGTCTGGGCTGCAGGCCTAATATTCTAATCGGGCGTGCTTCCTAACCCCTGTTTTCATGCCATAGCCCTGCTGTCTAATATTCGGGTCAGGCATTTAAGGTCTCGCTATGTTGCTAGGTTGGAAGCAATCAGAGGCAAGTTATTATCCATTTCTAAGAGCATGTAACTGAATTATTAACTAGAAGCAACAGTCAGGGCTAGCGTTAGCAAACCAGGGTGCAGGTCCTGGAAGTCAGGACATGGGTGGAGGAGGGGTGAGGTGACACCCAAGAGCCAGGCCCACCACACAGAGCCCCAGGCTGGGTCACTGAACCACAAGCAGAGCCCAAGGAGCTAGAACCAGGAGGGACTGAGGGGTGAGGTGACACCCAAGAGCCAGGCCCACCACAAGGAGCCCCAGGCTGGGTCACTGAACCACAAGCAGAGCCCAAGGAGCTAGAACCAGGAGGGACTCCCAGGGGAAACAGGTCAGCCAGTCAGTCAGGAACGATGGAGCTGGATAAAACCCAGATTCCAAGGCCCTTCTCAGGAGACTTTAATCACAGATGGGGGTGAGGCCTAGATATCTGCATTTTAACACACATTAGGTGATTCCGTTGAGAACAAATGCTTGCAATTTTTAACTCGCCTCCTGCTCCTAACCCACCCCTTCAGCAAAGCAAACTGTGTGCCTGGTCCATGCCCGGTCAGGTGAGAGGCCCGGGCATAGAAAGAGGACTCTGAAGTGCCCTAGTCCTCAGGGGCTCACAGTCCAGTGAAGGAGACAGACGAGGAGGGGAAGTTAAGGCACACGGCCAACAGAAGTTTAATGTTTACAGCAAGATGAATTCAATAGGAAGAAAATCAAGAAGCATAGTGCTTGGCTTGAATGAGTTTTGTGTGGTTCAGATTTTATTTATTTTCTTAAGTATCTTAACAGATCTGAGGCATTTGATTCTCTTGTTTTTCTTGAAGTGTTCTAATGAAGCTGTATTTGCTGCGGATTTCCACCCCACGGACACCAATATCATAGTTACCTGTGGAAAATCACATCTCTACTTTTGGACACTAGAAGGGAACTCCCTTATTAAGAAGCAAGGATTATTTGAGGTAAAGTTAAACTATATTTTTTGTTTTATTTTTCCCTGAGGGGTACATGTGATTGGCTAGATTTTAAGGGAGCTTTGAGGTGTCTCTGTCTTGACATTGGTTTTAATGGCAGATGTGTGTGGGGGGGTACATCTGGGGGAAGCGTGGAGTGGGAAAGACTCCACTGGGATCTCTCACATAGTTGGGGAGCCCCTCAAGTCTTGTGGCTAACACTGCTGAGGTCGTGAAAGAAGGAGGGGGTGCGCCAAGGAGAAGGTTGATGCCCAGGGGGCAGAGCCTCCGCCCCAGCATGGCTGGCTGCAAAGAGCACACGGAGGAAGAAAGCACTTGGGAGGACGGGCAGCCTGTCTTTGCAAAGGATGAGAGAGAAACTCTGTGCCTCTGTCTGGCCATTTGGGGGCCTGGTGAAAGCAGTGGGAGACAACACTTTTTACAGAGGCTGATTTAGAGGCCCCCTTTATTCTGGTGCAAGGGCTCTAATTCTTAAGGCTACAGTCATGACAATACAGCACGACCCTTATCCCCCTCCAGCACCCTACTCTGCCTGGACTGTGTGCAGCCATGTGATTCCGCAGCCATTTGGAGTTGCCAGGAATTTCTTTCTCTTAGAGCAGTTCATCTCATGGCCTAAGTTACATAATGGTAGATAAAAGTGGAAGACGTGCGGGGTGGTGACAGAAGCTTGACACTATTCAGTTTGGGATTACTGTGGTTCTAGAGATTATGAATACAAATAAAAGGAGGATTAAATATATATGTTTGCTACATTCTGCAGAAACAAGAAAAGCCAAAGTTTGTCCTCTGTGTGACTTTTTCTGAAAATGGTGACACCATCACTGGAGACTCAAGTGGCAACATTTTAGTATGGGGAAAAGGTAACAAGTGATTGTTCACAGAGCCAATGTTTTTGGTCATGTTTTAAGTAAGAAGCCAAACGTGACTTTTGTAAGAATTGTCTATTAATATAACTTAGAGGAATACAAAAATGAAATGAGATTTGCAAGTGGGAAGAGGCGCGCTTTTTGACAATGTACTAATGATGGTTTTCTTGGTGTGTTTAGGTACGAATCGAATAAGCTACGCAGTTCAAGGGGCCCATGAGGGTGGTATTTTTGCACTTTGTATGTTAAGAGATGGCACACTGGTATCAGGAGGAGGGAAAGATCGAAAGCTCATTTCCTGGAATGGAAACTATCAAAAACTTCATAAAACTGAGGTAGGTCAACAAACACTACTATTGAAATTCATTTTGAACCTTAAACTGTTATCCTAACCAGTTTCCTCGTTAGTATGAAATCTTTAGCTTACAGTTTTGAACGTTGTTTAGATGAAATCATACTTTATGGAGGTATCAGATTTTATTAAAATCATGGAGGCAGTTTAAGTACAACTACTGAAATGGAATTAGGTTTATAAAATTTGTGGTTGTAACACACTTCATATTTAGGATATTTTTATATTAGAACCAATCTCAATTTTCCAAGGGATTATTATGTACATTTTGATTTATCATTAAAATCTTTCTTTTTTCACTTTAATTTCCAGCGTGTTATTCTGGAGACATTACTGCTCTGATTACACTAATATTTATTGAGTATCTACTTAGTCATGGCTGTCTGCTGAGTGCCAACAGGCTCCCTGGAGCTCTAACTGCCTTTGATAGGCACGTCACCTCCTTGTTACCTAGTCGGCAGCTCTGCACCCCGGTAGGAGACATAGGCAGGAAATCTAATTTTCCCTCTACACACTCAGTGAATTTTCTCCCCTAGGTTCCAGAAAATTACGAGCAGACAGATTGCAAAACTGTCATCAATCTGAAGGGCAGTGCTCTTTATGCCTAGTGTAGAACGGACACGTTTTTGGACTTTTCCGACTTCTGAGTGAGATACACACAACACCCTTACACATCACATAGAGAGCTGCATGGCACCCTTCTTTGGGAGAAGGAAGATGGGTTCTGGTGATGATTGCTCTTCATAGAGGAAGGCCTTCGTTGCAGCTTTGAAAATCATGTTCCCTTTCAATTTAGTTGTAATAACATTTTTAATAAGATTTGACCAGCATTTGATTGAATGTGTCATAAATTGCTAGAGTCATAGACATACTAAATTATATTAAATGATAATTTAATATAATTTAAACTATAGTTATTAAATTATAGCTGTAAAGAAGCTCCAAAGCCTCATCTAGCATCATGGAGATGACTCAGCACTTGTTAGGGCCTGTGATTCCTCTTCATTAGCATGGCTCGTCACTGCTCTTGCTAACAAAGCACACTAGAGAGGGGATTTGAGGGGATTTGTATGAGAGCAGGCTGCTGCTTATCATTGTGGGACTGCAGCGCCCACCCTCAGCCTGCCTGGGTTGAGCTGCAGAGCTTGTCCTTTTTATAGTGCAAGAACTTCGTTGACTTTATCGTAGCAAATTGTTCTTAGTGGGTATATTTTGAAATTCTTTTTCTTAACATTTAGATTATTCCATACACTAACCAGCAAGAACAATGGATTTTAAAACTAAAGAGAGCGGGGCCAGCCCGGTGGCGCACTGCGCTAGTGTGCCGCTTGGGAAGTGCGGCGGCGCTCCCGCCGAGGGTTCGGATCCCACATACAGACCGGTTCCCGCTCACTGGCTGAGTGAGGCGCGGGGGCAACACCGAGGGTTGCGATCCCGTTGCCGGTCCTGGTCCGGTACGGGGGCGACACTGAGGGTTGTGATCCGTTGCCGGACACGGAAAAAGACAAAAAAAAAAAAAAGCTAAAGAGAGCAATGTTGCCAAATAATTTACCATTTTAAGTTACAATGTATCTTTAGGAACTCTCGTTATAGCAGTGTCATAGTGTTCTTTACTTTCCAAATTTTATCTGCTACTGCTATCAGAAGTTATAACAAGTAAAGAGTAAACTAACCAGTAGTATTCCTTATTTTTTAATTCTGTCAAGAAAAATTCTTTTTTTTTTTTTTTTTTTTTTTTTTTTGTCTTTTTTTTTTTTCATGTCCGGCAACGGATTGCAACCCTCAGTGTCGCGCCCGTACTGGACCGGGACCAGCAACGGGATCGCAACCCTCGGTGTTGCGCCGCCCCTCGCTCAGCCATGGAGCGGAAACAGTCTGTATGTGGGATCCGAACCCTCGGCGGGAGCGCACCACCGCACTCCCAAGCGGCGCACTGTAGCATGCGCCACCGGGCCGGCCCCCAAAAATTCTTTTTTTTAAACAAACCCTTGCTGATTCTTCTAAGACGTATAAAAATACTTAAAATGATTGTACTTTAAAATTGAGGTTTGAGGTTTTGATTATTCACTCAACAACTGAGTGTGGTATCTATCTATCTAAAACTCTTTGTCTCTGGGGCTGACCCTGTGGCTCACTCGGGAAAGTGCAGCGCTGCTAGCACCGAGGCTGTGGGTTCGGATCCTACATAGGGATGGCCGGTGCGCTCACTGGCTGAGCATGGTGCAGACCACACCGTGCCGAGGGTTGCAATCCCCTCACTGGTCAGAAAAATAAATAAATAAATAAAATAAAACTCTGTCTCTGTCTATCAGCATGACATGATAGGAGCTTTCAGTATGATGTGTAAACAAGTATTTGGAATGACTGAGCTAACAATTTAATGACATTTTAAATCTTGTCTTTTCGTATGACTCTTTTCAATGCAGATTCCAGAACAGTTTGGTCCAATCCGAACAGTGGCCGAGGGCAAAGGCGACGTGATCTTGATAGGCACGACGAGAAACTTTGTCCTGCAGGGCACTCTGTCGGGGGACTTTGTGCCCATCACTCAGGTGCGGTCCCGTTAAGCAGGCCCACCAAGCACTTTGATTTTGTATTATATCAGAATATAATCAAGCATTACAAGGAGGCGATAATTCCTGTGTTTTAAACCGAGATAACCTTCCTCCACTTCGGAGTTTCATTTGCTGCCATGAGTTCAGTGGGGGACAGAGAGACTGATGCGGTGGTCATGCAGTGGGCATGAAGCCGTGGTTCATCCTCCTTAGGGCTCCTGTGTGGTGATGGAGGTATCTCAGAGCTTCTGTGTGTCTCGGTTCTTTGTAGGGTCACACTGATGAGCTCTGGGGACTGGCCATCCATGCCTCAAAACCTCAATTCTTGACCTGTGGTCATGACAAGCATGCCACTCTCTGGGATGCTGTTGGTCACCGGCCTGTCTGGGACAAAATAATAGAGGTAAATATACACGTTATATTTCCATTTTTCTTATGCAGATTCATCTGGAACATGTTCTTTTTTTTTTTTTGCGTGAAATTAATCGTGATATAAAATTGTCCCAAAGCAAATGTCATTCGATGCACGTTATATTTCCATTTTTCTTATGCAGATTCATCTGGAACATGTTCATTTTTTTTTTTGCGTGAAATTAATCGTGATATAAAATTGTCCCAAAGCAAATGTCATTCGATTTATCTCTTTAAGATTGCATTGCTTTGAACAGTGTCTTGAGTTGTCTTATCCATGTAACTCTGAAGTTTACTCCTGAATTTTTGGACAGCAAGTTAGCTTTTCTGAGTTGGTTGTTAGGTTTTCCGAGTGCAGTCTCTTAACTGCCTTAAATGCTGAGAAGTTCTTGTTATGAGCCTGTTTACAGTGTACCCTTTGAAGGAGGATTTACAAGTGTACTGAAACCATACAATTTATGTCTACGTTTTCAGTTTGATGGTAAAGGTAAAGCATAAAGTCAGCATCTCTGTGACCTTTGCAAAAGAAACTCAGATTGCACATCAGGGTGTTGAAATATCCCTTTCCTACATGTAAAACAGTCATGTGTTTCTTGAGCGCTGACTATTGGCCTGCCAAGCTCTGCATATGTTTTAAGCATAATCCTTTAAGCAGCCCAGCAGGTGGAAGTTTTGGGCTTTTTTTTAACTCTGATTTTATTGATTGGGAAATTGAGGTTTAGACTAGTTAAATAATTTGCATGGTCACTAGTTAGTAAGTGACAGAGCTAGTGTTTACACCCAGTCTAGTCTGACTCCCAAACCCACACTTTCCACTGTATCATACGGAATGAGTCAAAAGCACATTCCATGTTTCTGATGCTTTCAATGATATACATGATCCCACTGAAGGAAATAGCCCCTCAGGAGACCTTCTCATCACCCTTTCATCCCAGCAAGGATGCTGGGTCCGAGTTTCAGCTCTCCTTCCCTTCACTTGCCGAGCAGGTGTGCCGAGGGGTGCCCGTCACTGGTGGCCAGCTCAGCACCCAGATGGAAGAGCCCGAAGGGGCTGGGTTCTGTGAACCATGATTTTGAAGAAAAGCATTTACTTGTTTGTCTTTATTTTCATTACCATAGATGTGAAAGGATATGGCAAAAAGAGAAATTCTAAAAGGATAAAAATTTAGCATTATTGAAATGTGACATTCACTCAGTAGGAAAACATTTTCCTCTCTCAAGAAAAAAGAGACTTTCAAACAGAGCCATATAGCTCTAAGGAATTAGAGCTGTGCATGTGTCTGTTTTATGCTATAGTGTTGTATCTGTCCATCAATTTACACTTCCTTTAAAATATTTTAGGATCCAGCTCAGTCTTCTGGTTTTCATCCTTCAGGGTCTGTGGTTGCAGTTGGAACACTAACCGGGAGGTGAGTTCATACCAGCATGGCTTTGTTTTCAGTGCTTATGGAAATGAAGCTTGTTACTTGTATTTCCCCAGGGACAGGCACGGTTCGGTCTTGGCTATGTCTTCTCAGCCTCATAGGTAGCAATATCTTAAGAGGAGAGCTCCATGTATCCAACAGCATTCTTTATGAAAATGTTTGCATAGTGACACACACGCATGCACACATGCACACACACACCCCATGTTCCATTTGACTCTTTGGGACAACTGAAGCTTCAAACTCAGCAGGTTCCCACCCTGTGATGACTGGTGACAGCCAGGCTAGAGGCAGGTGTCGCCATCGTCCACCTGCTGACTGTGCGTGGCAGGACAGGGTGACTGCTCGGGATCACAGACAGCGTCCTGGGGTGGAAGAGAGAATACGTGACCTAATTCCTTCCCTCTGTCTATGCCTCCCGCATCTCCAGTGCTAGGACCAGATGCTCCTGATGCTGTCGATTTAACAGGACTTTTGAAAGGCATATTCTAGTGTGCCCCAGTCTGTTTCTTCCATTTCAGCCTGTATGAAGGTTAAATAGCACATAAAGGTAAATGGTTGTTCAAGATGCAAGGAATCAAAGCTGAGAAGCAAAATCTACATTTCAGTGGGGACAGGAAGTCCACACGATGAGTGGTAATGGTTAGGGCCACATGGAAGACAAGAAAACAGTCACTATGCCTCAGTAGACATGCCGATGGATGTTAAGTCATCTCGGTCTGAAACTGCAGCAGCAAGGAGCCTGCATTCCTTGTCATCCTTGAAAACACTGGGTCCTACTTACTGCCACCACTTGATAATACAATGGGTAGGAGAGTTGGATCATTCTGGCATTTAACAGACCTTTAGTGAGAGCTGCGACCTTATCAGAGGATACAAAGCACTTCCATTTCCACTATCATTTGACTTTGACATTGAGCCTGCAAAGTAGACCTGAACTCTTATCCCCTATTTACAATTGCAAAAACTGGGCCCAGAGAGGTTAAATTCGAGGAGTAGTCCTCTACTCGCCTTTCTTCATTCTCTCTGTCCTTTCTTTCACCCGTTGGTTGCATGACAGCATTCGCAGAAGGTCTGGACTCTCGGCCACCTGTGCTTGCACAGCATGGTTCAGAATATCACTGCCCCCCTGAGTTGTCCCAGCCTGTCCTCCTGGGCTTCTCCCTGTGTCAAGTCTCTGGGTGAGCTCTTGCACATGGTCTTTTGCCACCTCCTCTGACCACAGGCCCCAGCACTAAGTGTTGGCCACCTTCTCTGCCCAGGGCCTTCTCTCTTTCCATATGTAAATGACAAAACACGAACACTGAAAAACCATGTCATACCATTGATAAGCAAATAGTTTTGAATGGTAGCCAATATGCCATTCCATTTTGTAGGAAAAGCTTGTATATAGGAAATTTTCTTTAAATAAAAGCTGGGAATAAGCTTTCTTGTTAAGCAAACACAAAGTATTTATTAAGCCCTTATGATTATTAGTTTTTCATAGTCTCACTATTGTAATAGTCTTACTTCATTTTCTCACTGAACAACTTATTGTGCTTTTTCTCATGTTTACAACAGGTGGTTTGTGTTTGACACAGAAACAAAAGACTTGGTCACCGTTCACACAGATGGAAATGAACAGCTTTCTGTAATGCGTTACTCACCAGGTTAGAAGACAAACCATTCACTACTTTACAGTTCCAACAGAATTATGAAATTATGTATAAATGTCCTTAAAGAAAAAATTTCATAAGCCTCCTCAGAGCGAAATTCAAATTATTCATGCATGTAATTGTGGCATTTAGGGATTCTCTTTCCTCATTTGTGTAACCATGCTTGCATATTTTTTAACTTTACATTATAGAAAATTTCAAATGTAGACAAAATTAGACCAGAGAGCGTGATAAACCCCACGTGCTCATGACCGGCTTCCACAGTGATGGACGCTTGCTAGTTTCGGTGTCTGGAGCCCCACCCACTGCCCCCACTTCCATTTTATTTTGAAGCAGTTCTCAGGCATCTTTCCTTCTCATCTGTTAATATTGCTGTATATTTCTCAAAAAGATGAGGACTCTTTTTTAATAGCTTTATTTAGGTATAATTCACATATAATAATTTACCCCTTATAAATGCATGATTCAGTGATTCTTTTTTTAAATTTATTTTTTTATTACTATTAATTATTTTTTACATTCTATGATGTTGTTGCGGAGCAGTTGGGAGGGAGGAGGAGAGGAGAAAAGGGAAGGATATGGGATGGAAGGAGGAGGAAGGTGAGGGGAATTGAGGCCTGTGGCACCCCCCTCATTCACACAGGGGAGACCGGAGGCTTGGTCATTGCCAGGCTGGGTGAATATGTCAGGGGTGTGTGGCAAAAGCCTTTGCCCCCAACCACCCAAGCTCGGGAGCCTGGGGCCCTTCTTGCTGCAGCTCGGTGGTCATTGCTGGTCTGGCTGCGGGTGTCGGGGGGGCGTAGCCAAGGCCCAGGGCCCCCACCCTGGGAACTGGTTGGGGGTGTCAGGGGACATGGCTGAGGCCCCCAGCCCTCCCCCCTTTCTGGCTTGGTATCCCAGGGGCCTTCCAGTCCTTGTAGGTATTATAGGTATTCTTTGGTGAAATGAGACCTTTACTAGTTAATGTCAAACTTTGTCTCTGGTTGTGGGCACTTTGTTTTTTCTTTCAGTTCTGTGTTGGATTATTTGCTGTTCTCACCACTTATACTGTCTGCTGGAACTAATTTGTTGTCCTTTGGTTACTTCTAAAATGGGGGAGCTTCCTGTAGGGACCAGTACTTGAGCTCTGTGGTTTAGCTAAATTGCTACTTTGCTGCTGATTCCCTAGGGAAGGCTTTTTGTGCAGCTCAGGTTTTAATGGTTGACCTTATAGGTACTTCTGGCTCTCAAGAGATCCAGTGCACCTGGGCTGTGTAGAAACACTGGTCTGGGCCTGAGTCTTTTCAGCAAACTGCACCCCCTCCAGTTCTATACTCCTGACCAGTCTCCTCTGAGTGGTCCTACACTGTTTGGGGCGTCAGATCAGCTGTCCTCGCTGTGCCCCAGTGTTCCTCCAGTGGGCCCATCTCACCCACCGCCTGTGCTCCAAACACTTCCCATGGAACAGGCCATGCTCCAGTCCCTTGCAATGACTCGCCAGCCTCTGAGTGGCTCCTTTTTTCAGTTGTTGTGGCTCCTCCTATGTGAGTCTATGGGAACCTTGTTTGTGGTCTTGCTGTCCTGGGGGCCACCAAGGCCCTCTTCTCCCCTGCTGCCTCCAAGCAACTTCATCTGAAGGGCACAGCTGTGTCTTCTGCCAGCTCCTACTCTGTGCACTTAGCAGCTCCATCCTGGAAGCAGCTGGGATTTGAAATAGTCGGAGTGGTTTTTTCTTTCTCTCATCATGGCTTGTCCTGCCTTCATGCACTCTTTAAGTCCTTCCTCCTCTTCCCCTGAGCTCTAGGCTCTAGTGGCCCCAGCTTGGCTATCATTGCTTTTTTTTTTTTTTTTTTTTTTTTTTTTTCTCCTTTTTGAGACCAGCCGCATCGCACTCAGCTAGTGAGCGCTGTGAGCGCACCGGTCATCCCTATATAGGATCCGAACCCGTGGCAGGAGCGCTCCCGCGCTCCCAGCGCCGCACCCTCCCGCGTGCGCCACGGGCTCGGCCCATCGTTGCTTTTTTATAGTAGTAAATTGGTTGATTTGTGGGATAAAGTGATGCTGGGGACCGTCTGTTCTGCCATCTTGACTGGAAGTTCGATTCAGTGATTCTTAGTAAATTTGTAGAGTTGTGCAGTCAAGTTTTAAAACCTTTCCATCACCCCAAAAAAGTTCCCTCCACACCCATTAGCAATTCCTCTCCACCCCCACATCCTGCCCGAGGCAGCAACCGGTCTGTGTTCTGTCTCTATAAATTGCCGTTTCTGGACATATCATATGGATGGAATCATGCACTATAACGCAGGAGCCCCAAATCTGCAAGAGCACCCACATAGTGTTTGCCTGTTCCAGAGAACTCACCCGGTTATTATTAGACTTACGAGAGGTACCTAGGCGGCCATTGGTCAGAAAATCCACACCACCGTGGAGTACATACAACAGTTATATAGAGAACAGAGTAGTGGTGTAAATCATTTTCTGGCTTATGTGTAGACTCTAACCCAGCTTACGTAACTGAGAACACATGGGAGATCTGGCTGAGCAGATAAGTTAATCTACTTGCTACTCTCCTGGCACCACAGAGCTTGTTCATTTACTGATGGTCCCTGCTCCCTCCAGCCCTCTGTTTGTCTTAAAGGGGACGTGCCTTTCCTTGGGTAACGACCTTGGCCAGGGGTAGTCTCCCGGGGGGAGGGGGAACTCTGGTATACACAGGGAGAGGGAATAGGGCTGTGTCCAGCATTCACCCTACACACAATATGTAGTCTGTTAAGCTTCTTTCATGTAGAATAATGGTATTGAGATGAACTTGTGTTATTGTGCATGTATCAGTAGTTTACTCCTTTTTAATTGCTGGAAAATATTCCATTTTATGGGTGTGCCACATCTTGTGTATGTACTCATCTGTTAATAGACAATTTGGATCATTTCTGGTTTTTTACTATTATGAATAATGCTGCTATGAACATTCATGTATATGTCTTTATAGACATATGTTTGCATTTCTCCTGGGTAAATTTCTAGGAGTGAAATTGGTGGATTGTATGGTAAACTTATGTTTATCATTTCATGAAACTGCCAAACTGTTTTTCAAAGTGGCAGTACTGTTTTCCATTGTCACCAGCAATGTCTGGGGGTGCTAGTACCACCACATTCTCACCAACACCTGGTACTGTCTTTTTTATTATAGCCGTTCTAACAGGGGTGTAATGGTATCTCATTGTGGTTTTAGTTGGCATTTCCATAATGACTGTTGATATTGAGCATTTTCCCATATACCTATTAGTCATTCCTATATCATCTTTGGTGAAATATCTATTCAGATATCTTGCCCATCTTTTAATTGGGTTGTTTGTCTTACTAATGATTTATAAGAGCTTTATTTATATTCCATATAAGTTCTTTATCAGAAATATGATTTGCCGATATTTTTCCCTGTATATGGCTTGACTTTTCTTGCCCATCTTTTAATTGGGTTGTTTGTCTTACTAATGATTTATAAGAGCTTTATTTATATTACATATAAGTTCTTTATCAGAAATATGATTTGCCGATATTTTTCCCTGTATATGGCTTGACTTTTCATTTTCTTAATGGGGACTGTTGAAGCCTAAAAGTTTTTGATTTTGATTAAGTCCAGTTTATCAAGTTTTTCTTATATGGATCATGCTCTTGGTGTCATACTCCCCTGTGCTTTCTTGTAGAAGGGTTATTGTTTTAGCCTTTAGGTCTGTGATCCATTTTGAATTAATTTTTGTATGTGGTGAGAGGTAAGAGTCTGAGTTTATTTGTTCTGCGTAAAACATCCAGTTGTCCCAGCACCATTTGTTGAAAAGATGATCCTTTTTCTATTGAATTATATTGGCACTTTATCAAAAATCAATTGACCATAAATGTAAGGTTTTATTTTCAGATACTCAGTTCTGTCCCCTTTACCTATATCATAATCCTTGTGACAATACCACACAGTCTTGATTACTGTGATTTTAGAGTAAGTTGACATCGATTAGTGTAATTCTTCCAGCTTCGTTGTGGTTTTTTTTTTTCAAAATTGTTTTTGCTTTTAGGTCTTTACCATATATAAAATTTTATATAAATTTTAGGATCAGCTTGCCAATTTCTAATTTTAAAAAGCCTACCAGAATTTTAATAAGGAGTATATGGAATTTATATACATCAATATGGGGAGAATTGCCACCTTGACAATATTGAGTCTTCTCTGCCATGAACATGGTGTGTCTCTCCATTTATTTAGATCTTCTTTAATTTTTCTCAATGATGTTTTATATTTTCTGGTGTACAAGTCTTGCACATTGTTAATTGTTTATTCCTAAGATGTTTTTGTGCCATTTTCTGAATTTTAATTTCACATTGTTGGTTGCTAGTATATAGAAGTAAAATTGAATTTTGCACATGGATCTTATATCCTACAGTTTTAGTAGCTTTTTGTGTGTGTACATGTGGAATCCTTGGGATTTTTCTTCATATAGGATCATGTCATCTGCAAATAAATACCGTTTTACTTCTTCCTTTCCAATCTGGATGGTTTTAGTTTTTCACTTTTTGTGTTGGTTTTTTTTCCCCCCTTACTGCATTAGCTGGTATCTCCAGCACAATGTTAAACAGAAGTGGCAAGAGTGGATCCTTGCCTTGCCCCCAATCTGAGGAGAAAAATTATTTAGTCTTCCATCATTAAGGATAAAGATGCCCTTTATCATGATGAGAAAGTTCCCTTCTGTTCCTTATTTAGTTTAGAGTTTTTAGCATGAATCCGTATTGGGCTTTGTCAAGTACTTTTTCTGTATCTATTGAGATGACTATGTGGTTTTTGTCCTTTATTTTATTAATATGGTATATTACATCACTTTTCAGATGTTAAATCAACTTTGCATTCCCATGATAAGTTTCACTTGATAATTGTGTGTAGTCCCTTTTATATATTGCTGGATTCCATTTATTGATATTCTGTTAAGGATTTTTGCACCCATGTACATGAGCGATACCGATCTGTAGTC